AGTAGTAATACGTACTACTAACTACAACGTAACTACTAACTACTAACAATACGTACTAGTACTATATATATATATAACTATATACTATACTATATATATCTCTCTCTCTCTCTTCTCTCTCTCTCTCTCTTTCTTCTCTCTCTCTCTCTCTCTCTCTCTCTCTCTCTTAATATACAACTCGTGATATGCTCGATTTTCTGCTGATTTCACAACAGTATGAAGACTAGAAAAAATAGATGATGCAGCAATATTATAATAATTCGATATTGATCTTGAACTTTCATCCAGTTTTGGATCCATGTCTTCTGATCTTTTTCAACTGATTTAGATCAAGCTGATTTGATGTTTAAACTGATTTGCTTTGCTTACCTGAATCCTCTCTTGAGGGGCCTCTAAATACTTGTTTTTTGTTTACATGATTCATTAGAACAATCTACTAATATTACATTATATTATTGTTTTCCTTGATTTTATTTTGGTAGCCTACGTTGTATGGGGTTCTTTTTATTTGGTATTAGTAGTAACTAAAAAATCATACTTATTTCACAAGATTTGAACCATCTATTTTGAGCAAAATAGGACTCCCTTCACTAGGCATTTCAAGGGGCAATATGAAAGCACAAACGAGACTGCCATGATGCTTGTTTTAGAGTGTTAAATATGCCCCTGGAATTGCTGATATTGCAGGACATGTCTATCTTCCCACTTTATGCATATTTTACTAAATAATTAGCTATTTTGGTTGTTGCTAGTAGGTAGAAGCTTTTTTTTGCTATTTTCATTTATTAAGTATGAAACTTATTGTGAATAAAGTAATAAGTATGTGCATTGAGAATGAGTATGTATGTGTCCTTGTACTAGATCCTTCTTCTATCTAGGATCTATTCCTAAGGATGTCTGCAGAAAATAACATGGATACCATGGAAGATGATCTTAGGGAGAGCAACAAACGCAAGGCAGCCATAGTAGGTGCCTATGCAGGTTGTGTGATGGTAATGAAGATAATTAATAGATCGATTCCTATTACGGTCTTGGCCACAAGAAAAGATGAGGACATTGTCAATACTATAAACATCAATTATCGTAAGCAGATACAAATGTCCTAGGGAACATATAAGTTGGAGCACATGATAAGTGTGCGAGGTCTATTACAGGACACTGCATGGGTAACTTTGCAAAAATAGTTGGTCATATTCTTGCATATTAAAATAAGAAACTTGGACATGACATTGGTCGCTCGAGCGAAATTATAAGTCAGCATCTCAACCGATCACTAAATACGATATTAGCCCTTCATCGCGACTTCATTAGGCCAACCACATTGCAAACACCCCCCAGATTGCAAACGATCCTAGATTTGAACGATATTTTAAGGTAATGCATATGAAAACCCATATGTCAAGTACTTCACAAATTTAGATGTACCTTTTTTTTATGCAAATTAATATTCAATCATAGGATTGCCTTGGAGCCATCGACGGCACACATATTCTGTCAAGTTACCAATGATGTGCGTGCTAAGTACCATAATAGGAAGAGTTTCTTATCCCAAAATGTCATGGCAACGATGTCCTTTGACTGAAAATTCCAATATGTCTTAGCGGGTTGGGAGGGTTCTACAACAGATTGAAGGGTTTTATCGAGTATATTATCAAGGAAAGATGCTTTCCATATTCCATCTAGTAATAATCCATACGTGTATTGCATTGTTTTTAATAAGATCAAATGAAAATTAATAATACCGTTACAATTTTTTTCCTATATCCTCGGATTTTTTGTACAATATGGCCACGTTCATTACCATCTGAAGGAGTTTTCCCAGAATAACCCAATCAACACTGCAGAGGAATTGTTTAACCTCTGTCATTCATCATTGCATAATGACGTCGAACATATATTTGGGATCTTAAAATGACGATTCTCTATTTTGAGAACTGCGGTAATCTACCCAATTCAAACTCAAGTGAAGATTATCCTAGTATGTTGTATACTACATAACTTCATTATGAGTACAGAGGGCGTGGTTGTTGATCACGAGAATGATGGCGATGACAACAATGATGGCGATGACAACAGTGATAGTGATGACAGTAGTTCCAGCAGTTCAAGCGATGAGGACCCCCTGCATGTACCACGACACCTATTTTTGGAAGGGGTCAGAGGAAAATGGATGATTGGGATATTTTTTTATATGAAATTGCCCATAAAATGTGGGAATATTATAGTGTTTTCTTGAGTTAGGTCATTGAATATCGTTAAAACTATGACAATAGACATGCTTTCATATTGTATATTTACTTTTCAATAATTGAATTATGCCCCGAATTCCTTGATTATGATGTAAATATTGATTATGCACTGATTTCCTCCAAGACAATGCATGTTGTCAACTACTTTATGATGTGTATATGGATTAGTAGTGCAGTAAAAATTCACACAGTTGTGGTTTGTAATTATTAATCAGTAGTAGCCAGCCCACATCTAACAAAAAAATTACTTGGAGCCAAATGGTGGACCTCGTGCACCTTGGCTTACTGAGAGAACAAGCGAAATTAGGGAAGAAATCGGAGGGGCAGTTTCAAAAAAGAAGCATGGTTTGCGATGCAAAAGAAGTTCAATACTGAACTTCTGAACGTCACCACAGACCAACTGAAAAACAGGCACAAGCATTGGAAGGCAAAATATAAGTTCGTTAATAACCTATCAAATGAAAGTGTGTTTGGATGGGACCTAGCACGACACATGGTCACAACATATCCCATTGTGTGGGATGCATACTTGTAGGTATTAATTGTTTGATTTATATTATATACTATGTTCTCAAGGCTATATTGTTTGCGTTTGAGCTTTTTGGTATTATGCATTGTAGGGACATAAGGAAGCAAGGTTATTCCAGGATAAGGTCGTGCCTTACTGGGAAGATTTATGTATCATTATTGGAGGCGATATGGCTGATGGTGGAGGTGCACAAAGCCATGCCGATGTAGAGAACAACCATCTTAATAGAGAGGAGGAAGTTCAAGAGACATCGATGCATGAGGAGAGGATTGGAGTTGTTGGCACAGAGGGAGATGAAGAGGAGACCACCCAGGATGCCAAGAAAAGTAGATCAAATGCAAGAGGGTCAAGGGATTCGAGTGGTTCAACAACCAGTAAAAAAAGAAAGAAGAGAAAGAAGACTAAATATGACCTTTATGCAGAGAAGCTTAGCGAGATTACCGAAACTATCAAGGGCATGTCGGCGACTAAGGATGAAGATGTGTTGAGTGATGTTTTCGATGATGTGATGAAGATGAAATCCATGGACTCTCAAAAGCGAATAATAGATTACGATTCTCTATCTTCTGATATAAGAAAGTGTAAAGCTTTCTTGGCCATGAATGACCAAGTGAAGGATGATTGGGTCAAACTGAAGTTTGGATAATACAACACTAATTTCAATTTATTGTTGACAACACTAATTTCAACCGAACTTTACTATTTTCATGTTATTTTGTGAATTATTTCCTCTTTGTTTGTTAGAGCCAATGACTTAATGTTTGGATTTTGGATGATTAGTAGGATTATGTTTGATGCTTATGGAGTGTAGTTCACTTCGTTTGATGGATTTCATGATTTGTCTTCTTTAAGTTGTTAATTGAGCAATAACAGTTCAGTTAACCAGATAGTTTCCAATTTTGGCATTGACTCATTAGTAATTATAGAGATTTGCTCCAACTATCACTCAACTTACCTATGATGTGGATTGTGGAGGGCCATTGTTGGGTTGTTATACTGTGGAAATACTAGTTTTTCTATTGATTAGCTAAATATTTTACTGCGCACAAAATGGCAAAGAGTTAAGATAGTTGATGGAACTGCTATGCCCTGTAAATGCACTAGGAAACTTTTAATGGAAATGTTGCCTTAGATAGAATGCTTTATAAACAATAAGTATTTGTATGCTTACCAGTGAAATAGGAAACTAAGAATTAATTTGTGGGTGTGTGGGTATACTGCATATACCAAAGCATACAAACTCCTATAAATATATTTGTATGTGTGTAATTTCTACTTTATTGCCCTGGTGTTCCTTTATTTAATGAATAAGGATGGTAAGTCCTAAACAGGAAAACGAACTTATAGAACTCAGGTTTCTAGCCTGGTTTTGCTTCAAATTTTAGATTGAAAGGGAAAAAAAAGAGGCAAAAGTTGGATTAGTAAGCTTTGATACAAACCGAAAAACATAGGGCTCCATATTGGAACTGTTTCACCTCATTAACAAAATAGACAGGCTTTTGCCGGTAGATCATATAATATAGGTGTCAGCCAAAAAGGTTTTTCTTGCCTTGCATTGGCTGCCCATTGTTGGTTTGTTATACTGTGAAATACTCGAATGTAGTTGCATATTTTGTTGCATAATTGGAATTTAGTGACTAATTGATTTGCAACTTATGGAGAGATACCCTAATGTTTTGGAAGGAGTTGTTCAACAATGTCTCTCTTACTAAAATTGTCTCGAATATACTATTTTTTGGCTTGCACAGATGATGGTAATCATAAATTTGCACTACATTCCAGCAATAGTTATTCTTTCCTTTGATATCGTCAGCCCATGATGAATCAAGAGACTCATTTCCACCTTGTCGTGTATTTGCAAGTTTCCTTTACTCTTTCTTTTCTATTTCAGCAACTTACTTGGCAAATTATTATTTTTTATGGATCTTTGTATGGTTTTACTTTGTAGCATGTGAAAGGCCATGGGTCTAGCTCTAAGCAGGGGCAATCCTTTGGTGTTTTAAATCTGAGACCCCTTGCATATCTTTGCATGTTTATCTATGTTATTTTATACTTCTAATATTCATTGAAGTTTTTGGTTGAAATTGTCAAACAACGCAAGGTGGCACCGTTATTATGTAGTGTTTGTAGGCTGCGTTCTAGAGATTTATAGAACTTGGGAGGAGTGCAACCGCCGAGTGGATGGTTTCTCTGAGGTTGTCCATTCTTCGTGTCCAATATTTCAAGAAGCACAAGAACGCTTCCATAATTATCACAAGGATAATCACTCAACATATACCTACATTACTATTAATCTCAAGGTGCAAAATACTAACATGGACATGAATGGTTGAGGTTCTATTCGGAAGAGGGCCATGAAGGCGATCATTGTTATGTCAATCTTCTTCTTTCTAGCTAAGATAATGTGGGGATAATGTAAACTGTGTTGTCATATTAACCAACATTTATCGAATTTGAAAAAGAGTCAGAAGAAATTGTTCGATCCTCTTATTTCTTGAACCGAGAGATCCATGAATCAGGGTCTTAATGCATATAGATACAAATGGTCCAATGGGAGAAAGAATTTTCAAGAACATTTGGAACATTTCGTTTCTGAGCGGAAGAACCATTTTCAAGTAGTGTTCGATCGATTACGTATTAATCAACATTCTATTGATTGGTTTGAGGTTATCGACAAACAAGATTTTTCTAAGTCCACTTCGTTTCTTTTTATCCAAGTGTCTAAGTTACTTCCTTTTTTCTTTGTGAGTATCGGGAATATCCCCATTCATAGGTCCGAGATCGACATCTATGAATTGAAATGTCCGAATGATCAACTCTGCAATCAGTTGTTAGAATCAATAGGTGTTCAAATCGTTCATTTGAACAAATTGAAACCTTTCTTATTAGATGATCATGATACTTCCCAAATATCGAAATTATTGATCAATAAAGGAACAATAGCACAATTTTGGTTCAATAAGATGCCAACGTGGATGATTGACTCATTCCATACTAGGAATAATCATGGGAAATCCTTTGAGAGCACGGATTCCTATTTCCCAATGATATCCCATTTGTGTTGCCTATATTAATGCTTTCATTATGTCGAATGCTAATAAACAGTGTCATTAAGAACCAGATGGCCAACAATCATGTTTCTCTTCCAAATGGAGAAGAAATAAACTTTGTCAAATAAAAATTATGTCAAATAGAGTCCCGAAAGTGAAAAGACTTTTTTTGAGGGCATGGTAGCAATGGGTGCTATAAACTTGTAGAAGAAGTATTGGAAAGAAATATGCCTCATCATGTGTGAGGAGTATGGATGTGTGAGGAGTATGGACCTGTATTTCGCATAGGCATGCTAAAAAGCTAAGTCAAATGTTTGAAGTATAAGTATAAGAATGTTAAAGAGATCCTTCAAAAACTTGGTTTCCATGTTGATATATATATAGATATATATGGAACAGGCTTCTATGACCCAATGGGCTCACAAGAAAAAATGAGTCCAATGGCTCAGATTGAATCTGGGTTGATCTAACGATCACGGATGCCCGATAGTATTTGAATTTTATTTTATTTTTTACAATCCAAATCACTTGAAATTTTAGACATGTGTTAATAAAAAATAGGTGAATACTTGAAAAATATTAAAAAAATATTTTACATGAAACAAATTATCAAAATACCCCTATAAATTTTTTGGGGTATTTTGATCATTTTTAATTTTACAGATTATTTTTTTATATATTTTTGTTAGATGCGGCTTGATGATAAGAATATTTACCTAAAATTTCAAGTGATTTGGATTCGTGAAAAAAAAAAAAAATTCAAACACACACACACACACACACACACACATATATATATATATATATATATATATG